GTTTCTGTCCTGAACACAGTTTGCATTCTATCATCACACTCTTGTTCTTTCATGCAATAAAAAAATAAAGGTAATGTCGACATCTCCCCTCCTCAAAAGCTGTAGACCACTGCACCATGTCTCTCCTCCCTGCGTGAAAACTGAAATCAGCTGATTTTAGCGCAGGAAGAAAAAGGCATGCTTGTTTGATTTTTTTTCTTTCAATCCGTATGTTTTTGTTTGTTTGTTTTTTTGTTTTTAAAGACCTAAACACTTTTCTCGGTAAAAACTGTACAGGTGCTACCCAGCCAATGCTTTTATTTTTAAAGGCATTCCCGGAAGCGGTGGTAGTGATGGCAGCAGCTTTGACTCCGTAGCCGCGTGTCTCGGTGGTGGGATGAGAGAGAGAGAGCGTGAGTGAGAGACAACAGCGAGGACTGACTGGAGGGGGGAGGAGGAGTCTGTCCCAGCCTGCATCTGGCCCGCTCCCCTCTCTGTCACCCCGGGCCAAACCCGCCCAGCTCCTCTCACTCACTCTCCGCCTGTTTTCCCGCACGGCTCGGCCCGGACACACACACAGAGCACCCACTCACACACGGCGCGAGGACACGGAATGGAGACGGAAGGGAGCCAGAGCAGCCTGTCCACCGCGGACTCCCCGCATGACCCCTGGTAATGGAAGAAAACTTTGTTTTTTAAACTTTCTTTCGCACCTCTGATCACACATACGCACACCTCTGAAACAAACCTGCTCTCCTGCGAGAGGACTCCCACGCACACGCACAGCTCTCGTGTAAAATCAGAGGTGATTCTCCCTGAACATCCACCTTTAAAAAAAAAAAAAAGCTCCACGGTTAAACTTTCCAGGTCTCAACTTTGTCATTTCTGAGTAGCCGCATTAATTTCACCGGAGGTTTTAAAAAAGAAACGATGACTGTGTAGCCTAAATAGAAATATTTTCTCTGTTTTTCCACAGCAAAATGTTCATAGGTGGACTCAGCTGGCAAACGACACAAGGTAAGTCTTTTTTTTTTTTTCCAACACCAGCTCTCCTGAAATGCCACCATGTCGTTACAAATCCTGGCGTGGATCACAGGGAGCCAAACCAAACTTATTGGAAAAGCTGTGTTTGTTACTATGTCTGTTGGGATGAACTCAGCTTGTTTTTATTTGTTGTCTCTCTTTTTTTTTTAGTTTTTAAGTGGCAAACACGCTCAGAATGAATGCCCCCATTCACTTATACCATAGTGGATTCTTTAAGCTCATTAAAGGGCTGGTGGGGAGGTGTTAAATTCTTGAGATTGGAAATAATTTGCGATTTGAATTTTCTTTTGACACGTAAACACGTTTTATGTTTTGTCACTTTTAATCTAAAAAAGCAGGAAGTTTAACGAAACAAATCTCAGCAGGCAAATCACCCCCCTCCCCCCAAATCCCACCCCCTTTGGTTAACTTTTTGATATTCTAGTACTTATTGCTTGTTGACCACTTGTTTCCTGTGTCTTCTATCCTGCCTTGTTTGATTCCCAGAGGGTCTGAAGGAGTACTTCTGCAAGTATGGCGAGGTGAAGGAGTGTATGGTGATGCGAGATCCAGTTACTAAGCGCTCGAGGTGAGGGAGCTGTTCCCGGAGCTCGGAAGTTTGTCTGAATTTCTGCGATTTTCTCGCTCCTCGTAATGTGTCATATCAACATGTGTCAGTAATGCCTTCCCTCTCTCTCTCTCCCTCACTCCCCACCTCCCCCCACCCCGATGCCCACAGAGGGTTCGGATTCGTCACCTTTGTCGATCAGGCTGGCGTGGATAAAGTTTTGGCTCAAACCAGGCACGAGTTGGACTCCAAAACAGTGAGTTCTCTGTATTTACTTCCCACCACCGGATAATCCCATTGCTCACTGTTTGATTAGTGGATTTTCCAATAATCCGCTACAGAGGTGTAACATTGCTCCGTTTTTGGTGTGTTTACGATCGTTCCACCGTGTTGGTGTCGCTCGAGTCTGCCTGCCGCCACACCTTACACGCGAACCTGTTCATCTCAAAGATGTTAGCGGAGACACATGGGAGGGGGGGAAAAAAGTGCTCTTTCTCTCCTCTCTCTCGCTCTCTTTAGACAAACAGGCAAAATGTTACCCAGTGTCAATTTCCATAGAAACAAGGGGGGGACTGGACAGGGTTGAATTCACTGCCAATCTTTGATTTGGCCTCTAGGAAGAGGAAAGCAAGACTTTCCTTTCTGCTGTTGGTTTTTTTTCCCCCCCTTCTTCTCCTCCTGCCCCCAAGGGGTCGAATTGACCCCGAAAAAAACTTTCTCAATGAAACGAGAAAATGCAACCTGAAACCATCAAGGTGTGAACGCGGCAACAATCAGACTCCCGTGAGCTTCCTGTTGATCACGGAAACACTGTGACTGTAGCCTCGAGAAAGTCACACATTCAGGCCTTTTTCACCTGTGTGAATTCTAACTTCAAATGTATTAATCGCCTGTGTTGCAGAGTGTGTGTGTGTGTGTGCGTGTGTGTGTCTTTGTCAGTAATGAATGTGGGCTGGCCTGGGAACAATGTGGCCCGTTGGTCGCCATAGGGACCGCTGCCCCCGCCTCTCTCCTCAGTGGGAGTGGTAATGGCTGCGGGTTACTGACTGTATTGAAATGAGGGAAGCCTATTTCTTCTTTCCCCTCTTTTGTGCTCTGCACGATTCACCTTCTCTGGGAGATAAGTGGAGGTGTTGCAGAAGGAAATGGAGGAGGAGAAGATGAAGAAGGGGGGAAAAAATGGTTGATCGCTGTAGAAAGTTACAGAAATAAGACATTTCTGTTATTATGACATTTTTGGAGGAGTGTGTTGGGGTGTTTGATACAGAAGTTAAGCTGAATTCAGCTCTTCATAGTTTGTTGGTTTCCCAAGTGCCCGACTGCTATAGTGTCACTTGCAGGCACGACAGCTATGACAAGTAGCACCATCATGGTTGGACGCCACTAACTCACCATGGGGTTTGTTTCCATAGTGACCCCCCCCCCCTTTCTTCACAGTTGAAGAATGGCTCTGTCACAAAAGAAAGAAGATAACAATGCACATCATTTACAATCATTTCTTGGATACCAGAAATCAAGACTGCGCAAACAGTCGCAGGCGCAGAGAGAAGAGGTCATGACACCGACGGTTTATCCTCCAGATAAGCAACTTATTAAATTAATTCATCGCTGGCTCCACCGATAATAGGGCCCCTTGTGGCTGGCACTTGGGTGTCGGTGGTGTTTTGGTAGGGGTGCCGTGGCAGCCTGTGTGTGTGTGGAAAGGGCTCAGTGATCAGCCACAGGGGTTGGATGGTGAGTAGAGTAGCCCTTTTAGACCGCTGCTCACCCTGCCCCCCTCTCCCCTCTCATGCAGACAGGTTATCCTGTTAGAGAGGGGAGAGAGAAAAGTTCTCCAGTGGCAACAGAAAGAATGTGCCATGCTGTGACCGACTGAACCGCTCCAGCGCTGGAATTAACGCAGCTTTGCTCGGCCGCGAAGGCCGAGGAGCGAATACAGTGCTGCAGAGGAATTTATTGGTACTTATTGTGTTTGAAGGACAGATGCTGTCCGGTTTGGACCAGTGTGCTGCAGCAGGCCTTACTGTGATTTATGCAACTGCTCCTCTGCTAGCTGCCCCTCTGGGTGTCCTCCCGGCTTCCCAGTGTCTGTAAAGTTAGCGACGGCCGAAGCAAAAGACACCTTTTGTGGGACAAAGTGTCCATTCAGCTGCAGCTCCAAGGTGCAACTGTGGAGAGTTTTACAACAAAGTCACACAGCTTTTTAGTTAGAGTTGCATTAGGGGTTATCCTACTCCCCCCTTCTTGTTTACCCTTTTCCTTCTTGGGTTGGTTGGAAGGCTTGGGTTGTTGTTGGGGCAGGATAACCCCGTCTGTGATTACTGTGGCTCTCCTAACTAATAGGATTGGAGTCAACAAGCTTGAGTTGTTCCTCTGAGATGTTGAGCGCGGCCCAATCGGTGCGTTGCTTTAAGTGCGTTCCCTGTGACAGGCAGCACACTCGGCCAACTGTTGCATAGCTGGGATGTAGCCGGTCAAAGGGGATTACCCTGATTTCATAAACCTCTCTTGGAATTACGTTCAGCTTCTTCCCTGTTACCTTGAGTCCGGTGAGTCTAAACTACACCTCTGAGGCCTCACATGTATTCATGATATTTCTGTCCCACATGTTTATGTTTGTTTGTTTGTTTTAAATATAAAAATCTCACGAGTGAATGTTTTTTAAATTAAAGCCGTCCCCCACCCAAAAAAACCCAACAAAACAAATTTGTTTAGAGTCGTTAATCATTGAGAAGAAGATGCCCCAGCCTTATAAAAGTCCAGTCAGTATTTATGTGCATTGGGAATTTCCCAGTAAAGGTCAGTTTTTAAGTAGAAACGTTCAGCAGGTGAAAGCAAAGCTGGTCTCCTGTGTCACACACACCTGAGGTAACGTGACGAGTCCGATAAACACGGCCACTTCATGTGCTTAATGTTCACAATTTCCTCACCACGGATGTGCCGTGTGCTGCCATGTGTTTGATTTTGTGTGTTTGTGTGTGTGTGTGTGTGTCTTGTTTGTTTGAATGTACACAGGAGTTTTGGACATCGGGAGGGTTGGTGACCGGAGGTGACTATCAGAGTAGTCTAGCCACCATAGAAACTAAACAGTAGACTCTGCATCTGATCCTCCAGTGTTAGCCTATAGTCTTCTCACTCTGCTCTCTAGAAAGAAAGTGAAATAAATAAATAAGAGACAGAAACTTGCGTTGGTGATGTCGACTCTCATTAGAAAACTCTGGTAAATGCACACGGTTTACCATAGAGGCTGTAGCTCTCTACTGTAGTTCAACTCTACCCTCTCATGGTTACGGACTAATCTTAGCGCTGTACTGTCTCACCATCTGTTAGTGTAACAGCAGTACAGTGTGGCGTAGTCTAGTTGTTCTCTAGCTCTATTAGACCGTATAGACTAATATAGAGGTCTCAAATTCCAATTTTACAGCCTGTCTATGAATGCATCTTCATGGTGTGGTTTGGCTCTCTCTCCAATCTTAACCTTGGTGACATTCAGGGGGGTTAGTCCACATCAGTTTGGGTTTTTTTTGTTGTTGTTGGTTTTTTGGGGTTGTAGTAATCTTAAATGAGTTACTCAGCTAAAGAAAGTAAAGATGACGGACTGCAGGGCAGACCAGCCAGACCACCTAAAGATCACACAGGTCGAATGGTTTCTATTGTTGTCATCGCTTGCGTCACAAGCAGGCCGAAAACGAACGAACGGACTTGGTGTGTCCGCTGTCAGCGCGATGTGATTGACAGCTCTTTGTCTTCCTCTCCTTCCTCGTTTTCTCCCGCTGTCTTTCTGACACACTTGACCTCCGTCTCCGGCTCTCCTTCCTCGCCGAGGTGAGGTGTGTTTGTGATTGTGGTGTCCGTGTGAGATTCCAGGAGATCACATGTCACATGGTGGTGACGAGAGAGGCCTGGGGTTCGCCGGACATTCCCAGGCATTCCACCTGCGCGCGCACACACGCACATGCACGGAAATTTACACGATCGATCAAGCCGGAGATGCATGCGCCTGCACCACACAGGCAAATCCATGCAAAATAAAAAAACACAAACTAGTAGCGCACCCTCGCACACGCTGCACACGCACTGACAATGTGTGGCTTAAGCAGAAGAATGTAGAGCACGCACTCGCTTCGATTCAGTCGGAGTTTTTCCCGTTTTGTCTTGGTTGATGGAAAATGATCAACAATTTGTAAGAGCTTTATTAAGAGACGCTCGCTGGAGTCTGGTACAGATTATTACACTTGATTGAGCTGGAGGTGTGGCCAAAATAAGAAGCAATCACTACATCAGTGTTGATACACGTAAACACACACACTGGCATCACACACCTGGAAGACTCGACACTTGAGTGGCCAAAGTCTGCATTCGGATTTCTGATTTAAAGAGAAATCTGTAGATTTTTCGTTGTGGTGTCGTCACGTTTTCTAGTACAGCGAGACCCAAGTTTGATGTGAAAAACAGGTTTTTTTAGACATCAGTGTTGTGTGGTATTAGTGAACACGTGCGCTAGGCATGACAGGATAACCTGGATGTGTTGTACCTTCTCTGCTGACTTGCTAAAGAATGAAAGATGAGGGTCTGATGTCAGAATACACCAGGGGAAGGCGGCGGGTTATAGCAGCGCATCACTAAACACGTCCTCTTTTCTCTATATCCTTTCTTTTAGATCGATCCAAAGGTCGCGTTTCCTCGCAGAGCCCAGCCCAAGGTGAGTCGAGCGGCCTCCTCGCGCTTGTTCGGCGCGCGTCGAGCGTTTTCTGTCACGTATCTGGGACAGTGCCTCGTAATGCTGATGTGAGCGCAGGTTAACGAAACCTTTTAGACTCTCACCTGAATGTCTGAACTTTTCAATTAAGAACAACAGCACAGGAGGATAGTGGAGAAATAGGTTTACAGGGTTGATGCCACAAAGAAATGTAAGTAAATCAGAGCCAAGCGGAGCCTTATAATAATAATGAACAAAACAGCTGTATTCCTTTTGTAGCTGTGCTTTGACAAATAGCTGGAATTTCAGTTTTACTGATCTTCTTTTTAAAAATTTGCATTAACTGTTGTACTCCAAAGTCCCACCCTGACTTAAGTTGGTGTCCAGCACTGTTTGAATGATTAGTCTAATTAATCAGTTAGTCGAAGTAAATAAAATGAGTCGGCAATTCTGGCGATCAATTAGTTGTTCAATCCAATCCAGTCCAATCTCTCCGGTCTGAATGTTTGATGGCTCAGTTTAGTAAAAAAATGTGGTTTTCCTTTTGGACTGCTGGGACAGATTAAAAACAGCAACAACACTGCCCATATTTGTATTTTAGTGAGTCATTTGTAGTGTTATTGTTACAGAAATCGAACAAACCTGTTTATTCTTTTGGTTTTCTCTCACTGACTGCTAAGAATACATTTTATATATTCACTAATGGAAAGCCAGCAATCTGTCGTACAGCATCACTCACTCACTTCGCTCACTGGCATCAGACGAACTGCGAGGAAGTGAAACGAAAAAGCCCAAATAAATAATAACAGGTGTCCGATGCTTCCTGTGCACACGATTGGAGGAACGCAGGAAGCCCTGCTTTTTATTAAAAGATTTTGGGAATTGCTGGTCAGCGAATAACACACGAGAAGCCGAATCCTTAGCATGTGAATCTTTTAAAATCAGAGCTTTTTATTGTTTTGTTTTTAAATCTTCACAGCTTGAGGACATCCAGTCATTCACAGCCTTTAAAACAGAGTGTTGCATTCTTGTTTAGTGTCATTACGGCTCGTCAGTCAGACACTTTCACATGTGCTCTTGTAAAACCTGGCAGCAGTTTGTATTGTTTACTTAAACGACCTAAAGAAAACGTGTGGATGATAATTCTGCCATTACACTTAATGACTTCATATGATCAGCTTTAGTGACACAGCTTTATAATCAAATGTGCTTCTCACTGAACTCCATGTGCATGCATGTGTAATGAAACTGGTTCATGAGTTCTGCCCTTTCTTTCCTCCTTCTTTTGTCCAGTTGGTCACTCGAACCAAGAAAATCTTTGTAGGAGGCCTGTCGGTGAACACGACTATCGAGGACGTCAAGCAGTACTTCGACCAGTTTGGGAAGGTGAGTGGCGGGTCCGTGCGGTTTGGAATGAAAGCAGCCGGTCCTTACGGACTTGCATAAGTTTGCCGGTGCAGAAACAAATCAGCAGCTCAGAAAAGCCGTAGTAGCACATCCCACGAGCTCGGCAGGTTCAGATTCACAGCGACTTGACTGGGAGTGAAGGAGTTACTGGGGAGGAGGGCGAGGAAAAAAAGGCTCGACGAGGACAGAAAAAAATAACGAGGCTAGGAGGCTCTGGGAGCAGCAGGCGAAGTTTAGGGGGACTGGAAGACGGAGCGAGGGGTGGCGGGTGGGGGGGGGGTGGAGGAGGAGGTTGTATGAGGAAGGGGGAGAAAAGTTTTGTAGTGAGTGTGTGGTGATGGAGAGGAAGGAGGAGGGATTATCAGAATCTGAATTAATCTGATGTAACAGCTGCTCCTACCCACAACCCCCTCCTGGCCCGTTACCGTGGTGACCCGGCTTGTCCATTGTCCCCAAGTAATTCTGCGGGTAAGGGGGTTTTGTTCTGCGGGAGGAGGGATGAGGCGGGGTTAGCATAAGTGTGTTGGTTGTGGAGAGTGGGGGGGGGGTGCAACTCACGAGTTTGGGAGCAATAAATAGAAGTTGAGTCGTTGTAAAAAAGCTTGTAAACTTGGCGCTCTTCCTTTAGTCTCTTACGTCGGTGTTTTTAAAAATTAGGTTTGAAAACTTTGACTTTTTTTTTTTTAAAGATGTTTTGTGTTTTGCAAGATTCTGAAAGGCGTGGGGGCCGAAAAATAGACCGTGGGCTCACAAAGGCTTCGTCAAGGGAGGGAGGGCCTTACTGAGGGAGGTTTGCAGAGGGGTACGAGAGGGAACTGGGTCAAAATGGGGTATGTGTGAGTGCTGATATGTGGTGGTGGTGGGCGGCCATTATACTGCTGTATAAAGCTGGGCAAATATTTTGCTAGTTTGTTCTGAAGTTATCTGCATACTGGTGGTTTCTGGATTAATTACAATCCAGTGTGTGTTCTGATATGAAACTGACCGCATGTAATACGTGCGGTTTACATTCACACACTCAGTTCTTTCAGTTTTTCAGTCGATCTTTTGCAAAGTTATCATTCAGACTTTTTCGTCCAGCACATTTCAGTCTGCACCTCAAGCCCTTTAAAATGTTTTAAAAGCAAAGATGCAAAGACTCGGTCTGAGGTGCCGCGTTTCTGACCGCGCGCTGCTTCATTTCCAGCGCCGAAAGGTTTGGCCTCGAGTTCCTCTGTTGCTCCCTCCTCAATCATAGCGTCTAGATGAATTTTTGCCGAGAGATATATCCAGGGATGGACGGTGAAATGTAGGCTTCAGCCATCCATGGAAGTTCCTGATTAGACTGCCTCACTGGACCTTTTGTGTCCCGTCCTGGTGAGGACAAAGGAGTGCGGAGAGGGATGGGCAGGGGATAACAGGGAAGATGAGAGGTGGGGGGGG